ACTGTAATGGCGGATACAAGTCATTATACATTTGTCAAAACCCATAGAGTGTACAACACCAATAGTGAACCCTAATGTAAACTATGGACTTTGGTTGATAATGTTGTGGCACTGTAGGTTCATCAGAGGTAACAAATGTGCCACTCTGGTGAAGGATGCTGATAATGAGGGAGGTTATGCATGTGTAGGGACAGGGGTGTATGGGAACTCCCTGTGCTTTCTGCTCAGTTTTGTTGTGAACTTAAAACTGTGTTAAAACATAGTCTACTTTTTTAAAAAAATAATAATATGAAGAAAAAGTGGAGGTGCTTTGATGGAAGCTGTGGCAGATGGAAGGAAGAGAGGGGAGAGAGATGGAGCCTTTGCTCCTCCTTGTCCCCTAAGTGTTTGTTGAGATCTGGGGACCTTTGGATTTGAAGGAATTCCAGAGACATCGAGGACAAAGCTAAATGGCTTAGCAAGGCAAACAAGGGTTCTTATAATCAGACCAACTTTCTTTCCAGGCTCATTTCTTGCTGTTCCCCAATACATTGTACTCATAATATTCTATAAATGTGACCTGTTTCCCCAAGTACCTCCCCTTGGTGGAGTCTCCCTCTGGAGTCGCCGTTGCTTGCATTGCTTCCTGTATTAAACCTTTTGCCCTCCCTCTCCACTTGACTTCTCCCTTCAAGTGTCAAGCCAAGTGATAACCCCTGTTCCCACATCAAGCTATCCCAAATCCCCCAGGAGACCTTCTTTGCGCTTCACTTGCCCTGTACTCTCCATTACGGCATCTGTCAGATACATTATCAGTTTGTTTTTTTGCAAGCCTAACTCCCACTGCACTATGATAAATTTGAGGGCAGGCTCCATGCTCTTGTCCTCATATCTCCTGTAACTAATGCCTGGCTTCATAAATGTTTGCTTAAGAATGAATAAATGAATGAGTGAATTAATGTAAATTCTACCATTTTTCTCTTGTAAGACAGTTCCACCTCCTACCAGATCGAGGTAAGTTTGGTCACTCTGAGTTTATTCCTTTCCCATGAGTTTTTTGACTTCAAGTATTGACAATAATGGGCAGTATATTTACAGGGCAGGCCAGCCACAGCAACCCACAGGTGGGATTGACCACATAATATAAATATGTTTTCCCATTTCTCTCCTTGGCAGAGCTGTGCTCTTTCGGATGTACCATCAGTTCACTCTCAAGTTACTTCACCTTTCTACTCCCATTAACACATTTGCTCTTAGTTCACCAAAAGGAAAATTAGCAGAGCAAGGAACTTCCAGCTGCTCCTTCTCTGGTAGAGAAGAAAGTCAGAATTGTTAGCTTTAACTATGACTTTTAGAGTATTTCAAGAAAAGACATCTATAGCTTTTTTATTTCCTGGCAGTTTTACTACTTAATTTCTAAGGCCTCAGTTGAACATGGGTAGTGACTGAACTGACATCCTAAGCCTACAGCAGTAAACCCAGCTCCATTTGGATTTGACAGCTGGGGTCTGCAGAGCCTGACAAATTATCTAAGGCTGGTGCATTATTTCTTTCTATGAATTTCTTGTCTCCTCTGGCTTATAGAGGCAGTTCAGAAAAGTTCTCAAAGAGTGCTTATTCAAGTTGTCAAGCTTTGTTACCTGTTTTGAATGAAGCCTGAATGTTACCTGTTTTGAATTATCAGCATCCTTCACCAGAGTGGCACATTTGTTACCTCTGATGAACCTACAGTGCCACAACATTATTAACCAAAGTCCATAGTTTGAACTTCCTTGTTTCCTCTTATTTTTCATGCAGTGTCTTATCACAAGTGTTCAGGCTCTTCAAAAAACTTGAAGCTCAAATCAGAATTTGCTGCTCCTGAATCAAGTCTGTTTCAAAGTTCGTTAAAATGCCTGCAGCTCATATACAGTCTACAGTTTTAAAAAAATAAATAAATAAACAAAAACTGGAGACTGGCCTCTGGAGACTGGGATTGCACAGGCACCTGAATCTGTTATTGTCTTAAGGGCTTTCAGTTGAGTTTTCTGTGTACTTATTGACTAAACTATTTTCCACCATAGATACAAGCTTGTAAATAGTTGACCAATGCTTTTGCACTACATGTATTTCTTACTTTACATTAATAGGTAATTCCTTTCAATAATGAATACTGAACAGTTATTTACTGTAAAGATATTCTTAAAAAAACTAAGGTCAGAGTGTCCCTGGTAATGAATCTCCAGGGTCTTTCAAATATGAGTAAATAGTAACAATATCAGAGCCATAAATTAAGCAAATGTCAAATTACCTTAGACTTATGGTGAACAATTACTGCCTTCACCTCCCAAGTCAGATTATTAGGAAAAATCAGAAAAACTCAGACACTGGTGGCTTTCCGTGTCTTTGAAATACCCCCTCACACATGCCAGCTCTGAATCTCACACATCCTCAGGGCTCTCGTGTTGTAGTTACTGACCCACCCTGGTCACTCCCTCTCGTTCTTTGAAAATTTTAGCTCATTTCTCACTGTCACTCTCCAATGTTAGTTTTGCTGTACTTTTCAGTGAGTTCAGTGACCCCAAAGATGATCTTCCCTGTACCTTCACCTCCAAGTTCCTTAACCTTCTCTCCTTCACTGATCTCGCCTTCTATACAACCTCCACAACTCTCTCCCAATGGACACACCATAGACTATGTCACTAACAATAACTGAACCCCTCTATAACCCCAGTTTCAAATGTTTCCCTTTTCAACCACTTTCTATCCTTCCAACCACTCTCTAATGTTTTTGCTTCAACAATTCTTTGGTCCCTCTGGGATGTATACTTTATTGATCCTATCTAGTTTTCACAGTCCCTCAGCTCCCTCATTTTAGCTCCTGGCTCATTTCCTGACTCTAGTCCTCATTTTCCTTTCTACTCAGTTTAAATGCCAACTCCACCATTAAAATGACTGCCCTACACAAGCCCTCAGCATCTTTGCCCTCCTTTTATCATCTTATTTAAAAAAACAAAAACCCACCTGAACTTGCACAGTTGAATATGGCTAGAAGAAAAACACATAACTATAGACATGGTCTCACTTCAAATTTAATCATACTGATCTTAAGTTGGTCCTTAATGCTGTCTTGTCACTGTGTGGCCTAGCCCTGGTCAATTCATTCTTCTTCTCTCCTGCATGTCTTCTCTCCATACTTCTAACACTTCCTTCTCATCGTCACTAACAGCTGATGACTTTGCTTCTGATTCCCACTGAGAATATAGAAGCAATAGAAGAGAACTTTGACAAGATACCTCCCCCTCCACTACCCAATCAATCGCCCTGCTAGCCTCAAAGCCCAGGTACTCTGCCTTCTTTCATGCACTCTCTTCTTGTGTGCATCTCGTGTCCTCAAAAAATCATTCCAGATATTCTTCTCTCTCCTTCTGCATCATATTTTCTTCTCAAAAAGATTTCCCCATAAGTGCATAAATATGTGGTCGTCTTCCATGTGCAAAATCTACCTCTCTGATCCCCCTTGTCAGCTCAGTGCCACTCCATTTATCTGCTTTTCTTTATAGCAATCATCATCCAAAAGAGTAGCCTTCAGCTTGTCTCTTTGCATTCTCCCAGAGACCATTCCAATTATGCTTTAAACTCTACCATTCCACCAAAACAGACCTTGTAAAAGTCATTAATGACCTCCATGTTGCTGAACTTAATGGCCAATTCTTGGTCCTCATCTTGTTTGATGTATGAGTAGCACCTGACGGATTAGTCACTCCATCTTCCTTGAAATGCTCATCTGGATTCCAGGACTCCATTTTCTTCTAATTGGTCTCCTGCTGCTCTGCTTGCTTTATTTTCAGCTTTCTTTGGCTCCTCCTCAGTTTCTCAATTTCTTAATGTTGGATTTCCTAGGTCTTAGACCATGTGCCTCTATTTTCTATTCTGTCTATACGCACACCCGTAGTGCTGTCATCCAGGAGCCAGGCTTAAACAGCCTCTACTTGCTGATGACTCCCAAGTTAATATATCTAGCTCCCCTTTCTAAACTCGAGTCATTTGTCTATTTACATACTTGACAATTTTTATTGCAGGCCTAATTGATATCTCAAACTTAGTATGTCCCAAATCAATCTCCTAATCTACCTAAATTTTTCTCTCATTCTGCTACCTCATTTACTTGTACTTCATCCTTTCTGCTGCTCAGGCAAAAAATCCTTAGAGTCATCTTTGACTTTTCTCTTTTCTGTCATCTTCCACATAGAACCCAACAGAAAATCTTCCGGATTTTACCTTAAAAATATAGCCACAATTTGACCACTCCTCACTACCTCCTCAGTTACCATTCTGGTCTAGACTTAGGTCACAGAATAGCTCTGATTTGTGTTGAATGGCCAGAATGCCAAGGCTGCCTGTTCCTGGGCCTGAGGGATAACTGGAGGCCTCAAGCCTCCCCAGGTTTCACAGTCAGATTCCACGACTTTATGCTGTTAGAATTGCCATCTCTATTTAACCCTCTTTAAATATTGACTGGGAGGAGTAACAATTTTTATTTATTAATGCATATTAATGTATGTGTGATTGTGTGTATCTCACCTTGCCCCCCCCCACATATTTAAGGCAGATTGTAAAAGTATATAAAATGCATAATAATATAGAAAAGTGAGGAAATTAGGCAAAGGGAAAACAAGGATAGATAGAAAAAATTCAGGTGAATTGAGGGAGTGGTGAACTGAACCTATAAAATGCATGCCATGCAGTCCTTCATACTTGCTAAATGGGAGTGACACATGAGTCCCTTTCTCTGAGGTGTTCCTTAGCATTAGGTTGCCTTATGCTCGATGGGCCCCTGTAAGGAACCATGAACATGGTGGCTCCCTGGGAGAGGGTCATGATGGGAAGAGAAAGGCTAAAAGGAGAAGTGGGGCAATACTGGCCAGGAAGCCTCCTCCTCACCTGAGACCAGGTCCTGGCCTGGACCACAATCATTCCCTGGTGCCCTCCCCAGTCTCCCACATTCCAGCCCACCCCCACACCACACCCTCAGTACTTACCAAGACCCAAGCAAGAAACTCTGAGTCCTGATTTTCCAAGATTCCTATAATAAAAACAAAGCAACACTTGGTCATCATTTCCTCAGGTGAAACTGTACATGCTTAAGTGAATATCGTATCTCCCTTTTGGCATGATTCTTGACGAGTCCTGGTAGAGACAGAGCCACAGATGTAGGCATATTGTCTTGAGACAAGTCTCCCTTGCATGGCCACTCAGGCACCAGGAAGCTCAAAATCTGTTCAGGCACAGCACAGAACAAAATGTCCCTCACAGAACACAGCTTCTCAGTCCCATATTGTCTTCTTTATTAACTTGTTTACCCATTTATTGGCTTTCTCTCTCTTTCTAGAATGGGAGTTTCTTGAGGGTAAACTTTTTTACCTTATTCACCAACCATTCATTCATTATTTGTCAACTGACCACTTCTCACTCCTTCCTCCGTTACCATCCTGGTCTAGATAGTTCTGATTTGTGTTGAATGGCCTGACACACAGTGAGCCTTAATAAATATTTTTGACTTATTGACTAACAAACTGACTTCTAAAACAGAATATTGCTTCTAATGGATGTGAATTATTAAAATAACAAATACAAAACTATCTTTTAGGTTATTTTAACTATATCCTATATTTAATATAATATACATATTTAACTCTATATATATATGTGTGTGTGTATGTGTGTATATATATATATATTAAACTCAAGATTACGTAAAATTACCATGGGAACATCAGATAGTTCTTTATCCCCAAAAGTTTAAGGAAAAGAAATATATTTTTGCTTTCTAAATAAGGATAGAACTAGGAGCTCTAGTATGCATTTGCCTATAAGTCTTTGTGGAAATCCAGACTCAACCCATTTTTCCGTCTTCTGACTAGCAGCTGTTAGAGAAGAAAACAAATTCTCAGAGACAGGGTGCCTCATAGCATTAGTGTAAGGGTCCAAAGTGAGCAGGTGAAGCTGGAATAACTGTAACGCTGTAGAAAAGTGCACCCTTATTCTCCGATAAGAGGCTCTCATAAAAATACACTTTCCCTTCTTGCTCCCACACCAAAGGAAACAACACAAATAAAACTTCCAAATCGGTGGCACAGCTGAACTACTCCGAGTTCTCCCTTGATTTGTCATCAGTTTTGGTTTATTTAGACTTAGCAATTAGTACTCCCATTTTGGCATCACAAGTTTTTCCACTGCTTATTAATGTTTTCTGTAAAATGCCACCTAAGCAACACATTCAACTGCACAACATAATAAAAACTGCATAAAAATGCAAGGAGTTGAAAGACCCGGGCTTTTGACCCATTGCCACAGCTAGTTGAGTGACCTTGTGGAAACTGCTCCCTTTTCTTTCTGGGGTTCAGTTTCTTCATTCGGAAGATGTAGTGTTGATGTCTATGACATTTGCCTAGCATCACTGTTTGCAGGGCCAGAGCGTGAGAATGTGTGCTAAAGTGTTACACTGTAAACAAATGCAAGGCATAGTGATTTCTGGTGCTTTTTGACTCCTACCCTCCAACAGACATGGTGCTAAATTTTCCCATATGAATTGGACATGTCCAGCTGGAAGAAAACCGTTGCATAAAGAGGCATGTGGAAAATATTTTGAACAACTAAATAGGAGAAAAATAATTGGATTGCTCCAGTGAAAACACTTTATGTAAGAAATTGTTCATTTAGTAGTTTTTCAGAAATCAATAGATGTACAGACAAAAGATTTTTCTTGGTAGTCTAAAAGTCTACTGATTTTAAAGGGTTGGAATCTAGAGCAAATGCTATATTGTAGGGAGAATTTTTTTAAAAAGTCATGGAGATACAAAGAAGAACAAGGCATGGTCCTCTACCCTCAAGGAGCCTAGAATCCAGTGAGGGACACAGAAAAACAAACATGTAATTCCAGTAACATCAGATACATCCTACCATGGAGATCTTTGGGAACACGTGAGGTGGTGGCTTCCTTGGGCTTATATTTGCATAACTTTGTGGGTATCATGGAGAAAAGGATCTAGATAAGGGTTTTCATGTATTTTTAATGTCTTTCAGTAGGGAGAAGTGACTTGCAGAAAACTCTACAGAGCAAGACAGTTCTAAGGCTAAGTCTCTATAGTTCAGAGATTTTTCTAACAAACTCAAATAAGGCAAAGTTATATCACTGGGTACTTAGCAACATTTCGCATCCAAAATGGGGAGACTTGTCCTATTTTCCTTATGGCAGCAACTTAAGATAATGATCACTCTGTTATGGGTTTTGAAGACCAAACTTGAGAACTGTCAGCAAAAACAAACTGCAAACTAGCAAGTACTAATGGCCCATTTTCTTGCCACTGCTATTTAAACGCCCAGGATGGCCTTTCTGGAAAGAAAGCTTTACAAGATTTTAAATGTAAGAAAAATTCAATTACAGACTAATACTGCTATAGCGGTGATAGGTACCCACTTTGAGACTTGCTATTTTTGTTTCCCGTAACTCTTTAATACTTTTAATGCTTTTTCTAAATACCCTCATCCTCTAGAGAGAACAGTTATGAAATTCAGGTGGTCACTTTTAAAGTGAGAGGCATTTTCTCTGCATGAGATATATCTGGGTCTATATGTTCATTGCCCTAACTTTGTCCAGATGTAAGTCTCTTTGTGAGGTGTGTACCACTTAAGACACTCCCAACACAGGACGGTGCCACTCACTTTGCACCTGGAGAAGGTAGGAGGAACTAGCTAACTCCAATTCAGAGCATGAAATCCCAACACGATTTCTGCTATTCCAAATGGCACATCTGCATCCTCCTGTCTCTATCCATCTTTGTGCAGTACTAAGTGAAGATGTAGCTATTCTCCAGTTACTCTAAGCCACTTAAAATCTGCTGTGTAATAGAAACCCAAATACTTGACACATTTGATCTCATGAGTTCAGTAGCTTGTGTGGCTTTAACATCAAATAATGGCCAAGTTTGCTAATCATGCTGGGCTATAACACATACCCTGGAACCTTCATCTCACTCATGCAGAATTTTCACAAATACCTCATAATCTTATGTGACATGGTGTAAAAAACCAACTTTATATAATATTATTCTATTTCTTAATTCCTTAGTGTTCCCATAAGTGAGGCTACATAAAAATTCTGTAAGCATATCAAATTGCCAATTAGAATGAATTATTTTTCCATTTGATTCAAAATTGTTTCACTGCACAGGTTTAACTATTTTATCTGTGTCAGATATACCAGAAACAAGGAACACCATGTTCATTTTTAGTATCTGCTCCTGTTCGACTCAAAATAAAGGCTCCTTTTTCTCAGGTGAACCTGAACTGCTCTGCTGCTAATATTAGAAACAAATGACATCAATGTGGAGGCACAGAACACTGAGTTTTGTCAGTCAAATTTCGGAAATCCTAAAGCATCAGTAAAGAGTTATCTGGAGAAGGGATATAGCTTCTTGAGACCTCAAAGGTTGTGATTCCCCTTTCTTTCTGAAGGCAAACTCGCCACTCAGTGAACACATGGCTGACCTTATTTCAGGACAATAATTTGTTCCATGGCAGAGGCATTGAATGTAATTCCTAGCCTCATTTTATGGAGCATCCACCGGGCTTTTTTTGCTTTTAAGGCAATACTGGAGTAGTGAGAACTGAAATCAAGCATCACTTAGGCTCAGTATTGCAGGCCACTCTGATGCTCACAGTTTCTTTACAAGTCAAAGAGGCTTAAAGCAGATTAGTAACCCAAATTTTTTTGTTTTAAATGGCTTGTTTCTCGCTGTATGTATCTTAGACCTTATTCACAGTTTTAAACGGCTGGGAAAAGTAGCTTGCAAAAATATGTGCCTTACATTTGACCAAGCAAGAAGCATATGCATGGGGCAAAATCCCCGATTTAAAGGTTGACGTAACAGGGACAGCTGGAAAGCATATGCAAGGGGCTCCAGCAGCTGTGTCAGGCTGGCAGAAACAAGCTGAGTTTGACCTGGTTTTCATGTGGTCAGAGAATTACACCATTTGCTGTCTCACTCTATTTGAACATCTTTCTGATCCTTCTAAATCATACTCTGCCTTACCTGGAAGTTACTAATCAAATATGAGATTTGGGTTTTTTGGTTTTGGTTTTTTTTTTTTTAAGAAATGCACATTTAATAATGTACATGAGCAGAAATCATGTTCATTTGCCAGCCAGCTGGTTTTGATAGTTACAAGGTAACATACATTTTGACAGCCATGAAGGTGGCTACAAATAGTAGTAACATTTTCTTATGAGAGCTCTGTTCATCATTGTTGGTAAGTAAATAATGACTCATTTGGGACTCACCAGGCATATAAATGATTTAGCCAGGCATTTTGAGGAGAGACATTAACAGGTGGCACAATGAAACTTTTATTCTTACCTTTTTAAAAATAGCAACAAAGTAGAATAGGATTCTTCCAGATTCTTTGACTTAAAATTTTAAGTCATTTGTCAATTGTAAATTCCAACTAGGTCCTTATTCATTTTCTTTGGTCATATAAAACACCTGATGATCTATATCTTTCTAGAAAAGTCTAGAGAAGTATGGAAAAAAGAGACTTTCCTATAATTAATTAATTAGGTCAAAGGAGATGTACCAAATTTTACCTACGTACCAGGCCTCAGACTAGGCTGTGAGCCTGGGCTGAGTGGCGGATAGTTGCTGCTCTTATGGAGCTTATGTCATAAGAGGGCAGACAGATATTAAATAGATTAATTATTTGATTATAATATTAAATAAAAGGACAGTAGGCCCTAAATACAAAATTAGGACCCTGAGAAAGCTGACCTAATATGGGTAGTTAGGAAAAGCTTCTCTAGGGAAGTAATATTTAAACTGAGATCCAAAGGAAGAGTAGGAAGAAACTTAGTGAAGAGAGGAAGGATCCGCATTTCAAACAGAGTGAACAGCATGTGCAAAGGCTCAGAGACTGGAAGAAGCATGGGTAATTGAAGAACTGAAATACGTTCCAGGCAATAGAGAAGGGGAGAACAAATGGTTGAGTGGTTCTACATGAGTCTGATAGGGTGGCAGGAGCCAGATCAAA